ACCCACTTGTTTGTCCTTTTGGCTGTCTGTGGGATCCTCAACACTCTTTTCAGCACCGCATCTCAAAGGAATTGATTTTCTTCCTATCATCTTTCTTAACTGTCCAGCTCTCACATCCATACATGGTAATAGGGAATACAATGGCTTGTATGATTCTTTTGTGCTCAGTTGTATATCTTTGCATTTTAGAATATTTTCTAGATCTTTCATAGCTTGCCCTCCCCATTCTTAATCTTCTGATTTCCTGACTGCAGTCCCCGTTCCGATCATTGTTTGATCCCTTTGATCTTCCTTAGTAGGTGTTCCAGGTCTGTGAAGTTTTCTGCAAGTATTATGGTGTCATCTGCATATCTTAGATTGTTAATATTCCTTCCTCCTATTTTCACTCCTCCTTCTCTGTCCAAACCTGCTTTTCTTATAATATGTTCTGCATAAAAGTTGAACAGATAGGGTGAAAGGATGCAACTTTGTCTGACTCCTTTGCTAATTTGCATTTCTCTGTTCTGACAGAAGCCTCTTGTCCTGAGTACAGATTCCTCATCACAACTATCAGATCTGTTGGCACTCCCATGTCTTTAAGGGCATTCTATAACCTTTCATGATCTATGCAGTCAAAGGCGTAGCTATAGTTTGTAAAGCATATGCTGATTTTCTTTAGGAATTCCCTGGTGTGTTCCATTAGCCATTGTATATTTGCAATGTGGTCCCTAGTGCCTCTTCCTTTCCTGAATCCTGCTTGGACCTCTGGGATTTCTCTCTCCATGTATGGTTGGCATCTATGTTGCAGAATTTTGAGCATAATTTTATGCACTGAGTTAAAAGCTTATTTTTTAAAGTTCAGTTTGTTCATTTGCAGTATTCTATGTGGTTCAATTTGTGTTTCAAAAATTAGAAATTAACTACTTCATCTTCAAATGTGATATCACTTTTATAGGGGGTATGAACATTAATCAAACATTTTCTACAGGTGTGGGGCATAGAAAAGGTTGGGAATCCCTGGCTTAAAGTATTGGACTTGGGTTCAAATCCCCATTCAACTATGAAACTCACTGGATGTCCTTGGGCCAAGGATCCTCTCCCATCCTGACCTACCCCTGGGGTTGTTGCGGTGATAAAAACTTATATCCAAAGTCTTTGGAGGAAGAGCAAGCTATAAATACAATAAATACAGTGGGCCCTTGTTTTCTGCTGGGTTTGGTTCCAGCCCCCC